CAACCAGGTTACCTTTTTTCGTGACAATGGACATCCAGAGTTTTTACAGTTTCTACAACACTTGTGCTTTCTTTGTCTCGTTTTTTTTTATATATATATATTTACAGAAACTCTTCAAAGCAGATGCTATCCTCATTTTACGGGTGAGGAACTGAAGCTTGGAGAGCTAAATGGCCTGCACACTGTTCAGCTTCCAGAAAGTGGCCCAGTGCCCACACAGCCCCATCCCTGACTCCAGAGCCAGGCCACTCTCCCCGGCATCCCTCTGCCTGGGCTCCTTGGCCCGGCAGGTGGCTGACTTTGCAGGGACCTTAGAGGCTGTGCTCTCTGCCTTGTCTCCTGGGACCTTGCGTGGCTTCCCTGCCAGCCTCGCCCTGCTGAGTTTATTTGCAGCCAGTGTTGTCCATCAGCCTTAAACCGTCTGCTTTTTAGATATTTAGGTTTGGCGGGGGCTGCAGCTCCTCCCTTAATTCCTCTTTCCCAAGTGAAAAGAGCTGACAGACCTCTCTGGGGCCAGGCTGGCATCTCTTAGCAAATGTCTCCATTCACAGCTCATTTTCCATGATTCATGCTTGGTGGTGCTCTTGTATTTCTACACATCCTAAGATGCATGACAGAACTGTCAAATGGCTGTATCTTTATTTGGTATCAGAAAGGGACTTTACCTGGTTTCTTGGGTTCCAGCGCACCTGTAAAGTCTGAAGTACTTCTAGCAATCAAGGCCACTCTAGTCCAAAAGGAGCCAAAAAGGGATGCTCTCAGTCCTGCGTCTCCTCCTGCCCCCTTCCCTGCTCCACGAATTCCATACCCTTTCCCATATTTCCTCTGTCCGCTGAACAGCTTCCCACTTCTAATCTGCTCTTTTGTCTCTTTCTGTTTTAAGCTAACATCTGTTGGGCACCTTCTTATTCCAGGCACTGCATGACATGTTTTATATCCATTATCTCAATCATTTCCCTTCCCAGGAAGAAGCTGATAAACACATTAATGGCAAGAAATATAAGGCAGTGAAGATTAAATGGGCTAACCCTGGGGGACTTTAGGGGAAATGAGACCTACACTAAAGCATGAGTCTGTCTTGTAAATATACAAGTATTAGTAAGGCAGGCATGGAAGGAAATGCAAGGTTTGGTTTCATTTGCAACCTGCAGGTGTCTTCTTATAAACCCTTGATCAAGTTATCAGGTTCGTTCACTTGTCCATCTTTTGCAAGATTGTTTCTATTGGCAAGTATCCTTACTCACTCAGTTGGATTTAGCACAATAGTTTAGATAAAGCACCTACTGTGTGAGAGCATTGAACTAGTCTTGCAACACAATGATCTCTATACAAAGGAGACTTCTACACTCCCAACACCACAGAAAGTTCATGAATGAATGGCTCTACATATTTTTCAGGGGAAATTTTTCATATCTTTCTGAGATTATCACATTTCTTTAACTCACTAGAAGTTGAGAAATCTGCTTTACAGATTTAAGTTATAAAATAATCTCCCTGATGTTAAGATAGTTTGTAAAAGGAATAAACATAAAAATAGAACTAATATATAAACATATAGAAAAATCAAGACCCACTGTGTTACCATCTGCTATGGAGGCATGCCATGAAGGACAGAAGGACCCTCTGCCCACCTTCACTGTCCTCTGGTCATGTAGCATCAATCAAGACTCAAACAAAAGGAGTGGTTGTCTAAGCTACCCTACCTAAGGCACTTGACTAAGTTGGAAGATCCAGGAACTGACGATCTCTTATTTAGCCCTGAGTGAAGGGAGTCATCAAGATAAACAATTTTAAACACACACACACACACACACACACACACACACACAGTAGTTCCGCTTTATTTGTGGGGAATTCATTCCAAAACCCCCAGTGGATGCCTGAATCCTGAATCCTCTCTCAGCATATTAGTACAATTTTTTTTTCTTATTTTCCTATATGTACATAACTTTTCACTTAAAGGAAGCACTTTATGGCTTCTCTGGCGTATTGCCAACATCACTGCTCTTGCACTTTGGGGCCATTATTAAGCTTTATTTGTGGGGAATTCATTCCAAAACCCCCAGTGGATGCCTGAATCCTGAATCCTCCAAGAGTATCGAACCCTATAAAAAAATTTATATATAGACAGTCAGTTTGATGACTGAGATGGCTACTAAGTGACTAAGAGGGTGGGGCAGGTGGCACATACACTGGACGAAGGGATGATTCACCACCCAGGGTGGGACAGAGAGGAAAGGCACCAGTTTTCAGCGCATTACTCAAAACAGTGCACAACTTAAAACGGATGAATTGTTTACTCCTGGAATTTTTTATTTAATATTTTCAGACTGCCCGTTGACTGCGGGAACTGAAACTGCAGAAAGCAACAACATGGATCAGAGGGACTCCTGCATACATATATTCATATTGTAATGTAAAACAACAGGCATCCGGGTTCACCATCTGGTTCATTCATTCGTGCATTCAATCAACACTTATCATCCTACCTAGAACCAGGCTCTGGAGTTAAGGATGTAAGTACAGTAGGTCCTGTCCTTAAGGTCCTCACTGTCTAATAGGAGAAACAGACATATAAGCACATGATTACAACACAGTGAGTTAAGTGCAAAGAAGTAGATAAACGGAATTCAAAAGAAAGAGGGCAATTTCTCTTGGATAAAGCAGGAGAGATTTCACAGTAGGAGTGACTGACAACCTTAATCTTCAGAATAAGTTTAGATCAGACACAACAAAGAAGACACGTAACACCTGCTGTCCTCTGAGGGTTGCCTTCCATTTCTGCACACATTGGCTCAACAGACGCTGACCCACACTGAGTACTAAGCACTGACTTCGCAGCCTGCGACTCCTCAGAGGGCAGCAATGCAGTCGAAACACCAGCGGTGTGCCCTGCCCCCTTCTCTGAGTGAGAAAGATAATTTGCATTGCAAACACCCCAGCTCAGGTGGAGGGCACTTTGTGGGCAGGGGTTCCTGAGCTCAGGCACATTATAAGACAAATTCAAGTCTACCCCCATCTCTGGAGAAGCGAAAGCCAGCCTTTGACAGGAGCTATGTCAGGGAGGTCCATCTGGGATTCTGATCTACACACAGGAACAGGGGAGATGCTGCACCAGAAAGCCAGAGAAGGAAAATGGAAAGACCTGCAAAATACATTCCCACTGTTTGCCTGTTGTTGCCTTGGGAAGGTCCTTTGAGGAAGGAACCCAGGGGCCTGAGACAGGGTATTTGACGAGTGATTGGCAGAGCACCCTGCAGTGTCCAATGTTGTATTATTGCTACTCTTTCATGATTCTGTCACTAACCTTTCTTTTTTTAAAAATATTTGTATTGATTTCAGAGAGGAAGGGAGAAGGAGAGAGAGATAGAAACATCAATGATGAGAGAAAAATCATTGATCGGCTACCTCCTGATGCCCCCAACTGGGGATCGAGCACGCAACCCGGGTATGTGCCCTTGACCAGAATCGAACCTGGGACTCTTCAGTCCGCAGGCTGATGCTCTATCCATTCAGCCAAACTAGCTAGGGCCTGCCTCCAGTCTTTCAATGGCCAATAGCCTTGGCTACCATCCACTGCGCTGTGAGAAGGCCACGCACACCTTATTCGCAGGTAATTCTCACAACAGCCCCGTGAAGTGGACGTCAATTGTATCCCCACTTTACAGGGAGGAAACTGAGGCTTCATAAAGTTAAATAATGGGCTCAAGGCCACAGACCTGGCCAGGGGGAAGCCAGGACCAGCCTCAATCCCTTGACCATGTTGAGGTTGATGATTACTCTCTCAAGGGTTTCTGTGGATTGAGACTAAATCTCTGCAGAGGAAAGCCAGAAGGGAGGCCCAGCACAGCAGGTTTGAAGCCTTCCTGCCGCCCACGCCCCCTCCTCCCCTACTCCCACCCTCCCACCCCCAGGGCAGGAGGTCTGAAGGCTGCTTGCTCACCTGGCCTCCAACCTCCTCCCACAGGGCTTTCAAAGAAGCTGGGAAGTAAGATTTCTCCTCTTACAAGGTGTCGGAAGGATGCTAACACTTTGAGGGGAGTAGAGGCGCCTATGAGATTCCACTCTGAGAGGGGACAGACCAACCTAGGCTTCGCAGGGAGGCAGTGCTGCCCGGAACCAAAGTGAGCTTTGTCGTTGGCTTTTTATTCATTTCACACTTAGTTAATAATCATGTATTGAGCACCGGATTCTATGCTAGGCCCTGGGGGTGACCAAGATGAAAATAAAACCGAAAGCATGGCCCTTGCCCTTAGAAAAGGTAATAGCCTAAGTAGAGGAAACAAGTGGGTAAACAGGTGCTTCAATGTAGGAAGTGCTGAAAAGGAGAAGCAGTAAAACTCATAACTGGGTTTCAGTTCTGGGTGGTTTTGGCACATAAGTGCTGTAGAGTTACTTACAAAGTATAAGCTTCCGTTTCCTCAGCAGTAGAGTTTGGACAATAGGACCTACCTCTTAGGCGTGTTGGAAAGAGTCAACCACAAATGTATGTGAAATGTTTAACTAGGGACCATTCGTGCTTAGCTCCTGGATAAGAGCCAATCTTTACAACCTTAAGCAGGTGACTTAACTCTTTCCTCCTAACCTTCCCAATCTATAATTTAGGGCTAACAGATCTTCCACATTTCTGGATCTGTCAATCAACAGAGGTTGCCCAAAAACTCTGACAGGTGTTGTGGGAGCAAAGGAGGACTCAGCACTCAGAGGACTTCCAGAAAAGATGCTAAGAGTAGCATCCTGTTGGGAGAACAACATACACAGCAGGTGAGTAAGTGCTGAGTTATATGGTGCCTACTCTTCCTCTTCAAAGGTTGGAGGTGAGAGTGGGCGTGACCCACAGGGCTGGGAGAGTAAAGAGAGGCTCCCGCAGAGGTGGGACCTGAGCCTTGAAGAACTTGTAGGACTCTATTGACATAGGACTCTATCATCCCATATGGAATTAGGAACAAGCATGGGGTGTTGAAGGACAAGAGAAGAAATTAGAGTGGATCCTGTCAGCGTTCATTTAGAATGTCATCTTAGACCTTCACGGTCTCCTAATTCAGTGGATGACAACAACACCAAGCTCATTCTTTGCCCACAGTCTCAGCAGCCACCCTTGTTCCCTCAAATGTCTCAAGAGCCCACGCCCCCAGGTAGCAGCCTGGAGTCCCCTGCTCCCAGCTATTCCCAGACCTTCTAAGAACTGTGGGCTCCATGACCAACCTGTGTCTACAGAGAATGTTTGAGAAACACAACTTGAAAGGCAAAGGGTGCACCAACAGAGTAGCCAACCAGATCTTAACTGGTGTTTTACATGCCAAATAAACCAGAAAAGGCAAATAACACTCCCAGTGTGACCCAAAGGAGAACAGACGAGGCGGTTATGATAGATGGGGTGTGACCCTTCCAGTAGAGCTGGAAGGCGAAAAAAAAACTCTCCTTCAAAGAAAATCGCTCACCTTGCCCAGTTTCTTTTGGGAGCAGTGATTTATGGGAGTGTACCTGTTATTAGCAATTGCCGGCATAAGCAACGAAAAGGGAGACCATACCTCCCAACTGAACTATCCCTGCCCAGTTACTTTAACTACTTATCTGTCTGCATCAAATAGCACATATTAAACGCCTGCCTAAATAAACAAGTAAAAAAAGGTTAATTTCCTGGCAGGAAATTCCTGTGTAATTAGTCAGCAGCTCAGTCCCTGCTCTGTCACTAACCAGCACTGTGTCCTTTAGCAGTTCCACGTCTCTCCATCCCCATTCCCATAACCTTAGGCCAGGCCACTGTGTCCCTCTCTTGGACCACATCAGCTTCTAACTGATCTCTGTCTCTGGTTTTTCTCCTCTCCCAATTATTCCCCACTCTGGGGACCTCCAATATAGAGAACTTCCTGAAATCCCAAATCTGGTCAACTCTCTCCTCCTTAAAATCTGCCACATCTCTTCCTTTACTCTAGGACCAAATCCAAACGCCTTTGTAAAACTTCCAAAGTCGTGCTCTGGCCCCTGCTTACTGTTCCACACTCATGTCTTACCCTTTCCAATCCAGAGTCCTATGTTCCAGCCATATTAACTACCCAGATTTGCCTGTAAAATACTAATAGTTTGCTCGGTACCAGATATTGTTCTAAAGAACTCTTCATGCTTTAACTAATTTAATTTTTATAATGCTACTAAATAATAAGTGATGATCTCCATTTCACAGATGAGGAAACCCAGATGCAGAAAGGTTAAGTATTATCCAAATTATCCGGCAATAAATAGTAGAACCTGAATACACCATGTTCATCATCCCCTCAAGCCCTCTCTTATCCCCAAGTCTTTGCACAGCGGGTTCCCTCTGCCTGGAAGATGATTTCCTCTCTCATCCTTTGTCTTCTACCCCCTTTCTTCACTTGGCGAACTCCTACTCTTCCTCTGAGAGTCCCCATGTATACAGTGCCTCCTCTGAGCTTTCCCTCCGTAGACTGCCCTCTCCCCTCAGTGAGAGTTAATCTCCAAGGATGGTCCCCAATGGGTGATGCCTCCAACACTCATGCCATCACATAGCTGCCTCACATGCTGACTCTCAGCTGGCCCTGTGACTCACAACAGACGATGGCAGATGTAATACTGAGTAACTTCTGGGCCCAGGTCATAAAAAGCCTGGCAGCTTCCACCCAAGTCTCTGTGAATGCTCACTCTGGGGCAGATCAGACACTATGTAAGAAGTTCCTCATGCTGCGAAGAAGCCAAGGTAGCCACATGGAAGACTAAGTGGGGATAGATGTCCAGCCAATCTTTAGCCATTCCAGCCACCCAAGAGCCATGCACCAGCTACGTGATAAAGAAGTCATCTCGGATGTTCAAACAACAGCAGCCCCAGCCACCACCTGACTACAACTGTATGAGGGACCCAAGAGGGGAACCATACAGCTAAGTTCAGTCAGTCCACTGAACTGTGATTTATTCTTTTAAGCCACTAATCTTTAGGGTAGTTTTGTTTAGCGGTGATAAGTAACAAACTTATTTGTATGTGTTCTCACAATGGGAATATGGTGGTGAACAACAGAGTGTATCTACCCTCAAGGATGCCCTAGTCTAATGGAAAAGACCGCCAAGCAAGTACAACACGGTGTGATGAGCTTGAGTGGTGGGGGAAGGGTGAGGGAATGGCTGTCCAGGCCTTGGCACACCAAGTTGAGAGTTAACAAAGGAACACATCATAGTGCAGTGATAAAAGCATGAGCATTTGAGTCAGATGGAGTTCTTTGAATCCTGGTCCTGCACTTGCTTTGTAAGTGACTTAAGGAAAATTTCTCAAACACTCTGAGCATCAGAGTAAGACAGGGATAACAAAGTTTAGTTTAGAGGATAGTTGTAAGAATTAATTACATATTTGTAATGTTTATCACATAGCCTACTACATGGTAACATTCTACATATAACATATACTAAATCACATGTGACTAAATATATTTATAGTTAATTACAGAAAAAGAATATTGCCCTACAGTAACTTGGGCTTGTCAAAAGTCATGTCAAATGAACACAGCAGAAAATTTCCTCTAGACCTGTGAATTTATCTCCATGTTGTATATTTTATGACTAAATCATTAGTTATATTTCGCATACTTGAAAGACCATACCTTTGGGAGAGAATTAGGAGGGGGATTATTCCTTTTACAGGGTGTTCCCAAAATGTATAGACACTGTATGTAACAGCTGATACATCAATTTTGAAAATGAAATGTATTTTAATAAACCCTGCCTTTATAATTATTCAAAGTGTATGTATACATTTTTTGAGATACCCTATACTTTGGTGTATACTAAACAGGAGACTGGACTGGCCACTCCTTGAGGGTTCACCCATGTTGATACCAGCACCTGGTACATAGTAGCTGCTTACTCAGAATGAGTTGAATGAATGAATGACTGAACAGGACTCACAATAAATGACAACATTCAAAGGGCCAGAACGAGGCTGAGCGTTTTATCTAAATTATCTCATTTCCTTCCACAACCCCCTATGATACAGGTGATGCCATTATTTCAGGTTGAAACCACTCTTCAGCATTCAACACCTCGTAAACGCCCAGAAGCTGCCCCAAGGATACAGTCTTGAGATAGAAATGGAATGTTGAGACCATCTGGACTGCAGTACGTGACTGACCCCAGGTAACGCCCCCTGGGTACATGACTAAACCCAGTTAGGGTCTCCATATAAACTTCTAAAATTTGGCAGGCAGGCAGGGGAAACTACTCATCTTGCCCCAGCCCAAGACAGCTGGAGAAAAGTTCCCTTGTTTATTAAACTTGCCACCTGCCAATCTGGATTGCTCTGCCCCTTTCTTCTGTCTCTCCTTAGTTTCAGATTACACCTGGGAAGACCCCAAGAAACTTGTGACCTAACAATTGGTGAGTCATCCAGGAGACCAAAGAAATGGGTCTTGGGAAAGAGACACCCTGGGGGAAATCCCGAGTTGGCCACTATGTCTACGTGGGGAGTGGTGATCAATATGTTAGATGTGTATACACTGTCATACACTGTCACCTGAGTATGGGGATCCCCTGAAAATGCCGGCTGACTTAATGGGCTTGTTTGAGAAACTGAGCATAACACACTGTGGCAAAGAAGGGGAGTGCAAGGCAGTGCAGTGGCCTCTACTGTGGACAGATCAGCTGATCACAAAGCCCAAATAGTGGGTGACACTGCAGTTAGAGAGGGCATGGGGGAGCGGACTCATTTATGGATAATAAGAAACATTATAACCTGATGAACAAAAAGATAGAGACAGAGGCAGAGCAGCATCAAACAGACTGTCAAATTACAGCAGGAAGGCTGGGGAGTGTTGGAGGCGGGGGGTAAGAGATCAACCGAAGGACTTGTATGCATGCATATAAGCATACCCAGTGGACACAGGACCCTGGGGGGAGGGAGGGCCGTGAGGGCAGGTGACAGGGGGGTAGGGGAAGCCAGGGGAAGGTCAATGGGGGAAAAAAGGAGACAAATGTACTACTATTTGTAATACTTTAAACAATAAAATAAAAAAATTTTAAAAAGATATAAAGCTAAATCCACACAAGCTGCTGTGGATTAAGGCCTACTGAGGCTCTGCCTGTGACAGCCTGATTGGGACCCTAAGAGGTGGAATCCATGGGAAAGTGAGGAGAGTGAAGGGGAGGGTGTTATGGTGATGAACAGGGAAACAGAAACAGATTAAGTGTCTCATGCAGTCCCATACAAAGAACATTTTTAAACAAAATTATTCCAAAACACCTAGGAGAAAGTTTACATTCTTTCTTTATCACTTAAAGTTTTAAATCTTATCAGATCCTTGAAATGTAAACACCCAGGAGCTAACCAAACCATTGCCCACAGACAGTAAAGGAAAAAGGCCTTTTAAAAATGCATACTGCTGTGGAGTGTTCACTTGTCAAATGGATTTGTGAAAGAGCTAAGGTTTTTTACAAAACTACTAAAAATAATAAGGATATACCAACAAAGAAAAGAAAGAAAAAGACCATACAGGGTGGAGGAGAAGTATGTTTACAGTTGTGAGTATATGAAACACAGTTTATTCTTGTATTATTTATTTTCTACATGAACAACTCTAAACCTACTTTTGCTCCACCCTGTATATAGAAAGTAGGATGTGTGTTCTCCGTAAAGGCAGGTATGAAAAAAACAGATGGAATTTTGTCAAGGGAGTGTTGTGGAGGTAAGGGGCCACTATGGGAAGTGGCCACTGGTCTGGTCATAAATTCCAAACTGGCAGGTCATGGTGGGTAGTCCCACCCCAGGCACATAACTTCTTTATTGAAAGATTTATCTTTGCCGTAAGCAAGTCCTGTCCATTGTTCCTGTGTATCTAGGTTAACACACCTTTGGAATAAGGGTAACCACCCTCAAGAAAGCACATAATCTTGTTAGCCATCCTGTAATCCAATAACCTTGGTTTCAGTCCCTTCCTTAATTTCAAATGCACAAAAGAGGCTGTAAAATGTATTCTCTGAAACATCTGAGATCTTGTTCCAGGCATGTGTCATC